CCCCCCGGGCGGGGGCAGGAGGAGAACAAGCTCCACCGCACGGGCCTGTCAACCGGCTAAGAACAGAATTAAAGAAACCCCAGACGTCTCTGGCCTGGGTCCCGGACCGAGTCCCGGACCGCGGAACCGGCCAGTAGCCGCAGGGGACGAGGAGAGCACCAGAACAATCTAGGAAGGGCTCACGGACTGCAGGCAGCAAAACCGAGCCGAGTGCTGCTGCGCCTCAGGGACACAGGCGACGTGGCCGAGGAAACGGTTTAAAAAACCGAAACGAACCCCCACCCCCAGCCTTTCAGGCATGAACTTTTGAAAGTGCGTTGCAAATCGCCGACACCATCAAGCAACCACCAACGCGCGGCTCCTTCCCTTCAAAACTTGCAACGTGGGCTAACCGGCACGGGACCCCGCGCTTCACCGACACACTGAAGGGAAAGCGAGCCCGGGCTATTGCACTGCTGACAGACATATTCCTCCTGGAGGCGCACGCCAAAGAAGCAGTGCCACAAACCTGTCCCTTCTCACCACCGGCACGCTCAAACGTAACGATCTCTTTCAAACGGGAAGAAAGAGGTAGATCGGATTTGGAAACGAGCCACAGGGAAAACACCTCTTCTGCCTACCACTACAGCAATGGGCATCCAGCCAGTTCTTATAGCGTACTCTGATTTAAGCAGGTGATCAAAAATACAGAAAAGAAGCTTTATTTCTTGTTTCAAATATTACATGCACTTTCAAAAATTAAAACTCTTTATTTAAACATCTCAATAGCATCTTGTCAGTTTGGAGGCAGCAAAGAATAACAGACATTTTGAAAAGCATTTACAAAAATACATTGCACAAAGTCCTATCTTGCTTTTTTAAAAATAAGTTAGTGTTATTCAAAATATTCCCACCCCGGCTACCTAATTTCAATTTATACAGGATAACTCTAATTTTAAATACGTAACCTATAATATGAAAACACCTGTACACATGTAATCTAGCTCCTCTGCGTAGGCCATAGGTTCTGTCTCTAGCTCAAGTGAAAAAGTTCTTCACATGGAGACTTTTTGTTTTTTTAAACATTCGAGGACTGTTGTGCAACATACGTAACTCTAGTCAGAAAACCAGTCAGCAGTTCCATGTGGTAACAGTTCATGTGTAACTACAAAATGCATTATAACAGCAAGATAAAAACTCTGCATACAAGTACATTTTCCGAAAAGGATCTTCAAAGTAGCAATCCTAAGGGGGGCAATAAGCAGTTTCATCTCATTCCACATGGAAATGTTGCTTTTGAGAGCAAGACCTCACCCTACTCTTCTTATACCTGACTAAGGTTTCTGGGGATGATCTACAGAACGCCCGTGTATGTCAGTACCGAGCAGAAGTCCTTCCTGCAAACGTGAAGTAGCGAGGTTTACTTCAGTCTTGTGTCCCACATCCCGCATTCTCACAGTACAACATTTACCGAGTGTAACAATGAACCAGCCTAAGGAATTACTGTCCCAAAGAGATCACTTCTGACCAACTGTTTAATTGCTGTATACTAATGTTTACTAAGCAATTTAGCAGGCTTATCGGTTCTGATCCAGTTAGTCAGTACATCAAGGTCGATTTGGAATTAACACTAAAGAAGGAACAAACTGGCCAAGTTGCTATGGTAAAAACCCTTAAAATAACTTCAGTTACTTAAAGTTATCCCTGACTTCGAGCAATTCATGGCCACAAATTACAGTAAAGCATTCTCAGTCGCTGGTGTTTAAACTAGTTTTGGTTGTGTCACCTTTCCCTGACAGAAGTATTTATTATATTCAACATGTATCGAAGAAGCCCTTTTGGATCCACCAAAAAGGTCAAAACCAAGGGTCAACTGAAGGACACCTGTAGCCACAGTCAGTGTTTAAAATGTACCACAGTTTTTTGGCTTATGGTGCCAAGCTAACGGAAGTATGCAGTTTAGTCCTGGATTTAAAAAAAACAGGTTCCTAGTTGCAGAAAGTGTGGTTTATTCTTTTAAAAAACCCCTATACATTCATTTGTAATAAAATAGGTGTCACCTGTTTGCCAACTGGGCTTTATGAACCAGAGTAGTTTGCATGCATTATTTCTCTCAGCATGGACACAAAAATATAAAGCTAACTGGCAATTACAAGCTGAGCATTAGAGCAAGTAAGAATTATTTTTTATACAGTTCTGCTGACAGTCTTCTGCCTTTATCAGAGGATCAATAGTTCTGCAGTATACATCTTGCATCCTCGTCCTTTAAAGATTCCAGTGTTCTAGGCTTCCCGGTATATACAAATTGAGAACAAAATGTACAACAACAAAAACAACCCAAGCTGTAGTGTAGGAGATTATTCGGCAGGTTTCCCATGCACTCTGAACCGATAAAGGCATGTATATTCTGCATGTCCCCAGTTAGAAAAAATTCTCAGTTCCACTATTTGGAATGCGTTTTCACTTTTCTCCTGGAGAAGGAAAAAGCAAACACACAAACCAGAGTTAGGTTTCTAGTACGAACAAGCTGCTGTCTTGATTCCTGCAACTACCAACTTTTATTCATAACTAAGTTACGCCTTGGGAACTTTCTGCCACTTTGAACAGAACCTTCCTCGCCTTACAACTAGTTTTTTGTGAAGGGAGTCAGAAGAAGCCTGAAGCAGACTCTTCGTATGTTTAGCATCTTCATGCTATTTGAGCCCCGATGGCACAAACCTTTCCTCCCCTCTAATCTATTTAGACCATGGGTTTTGAGACAGACAGGTAGATACTTTCTGCCTCAGTTTCTACAGTGCCCAACAGAGAATGAGGCCTTTTTCCCTTCACTGCTCACTGTGCACTACCATAGAAAGTAGAAGTATCTCTCTCCTGACACTTTAAATCTTATTGTCCAGACTTACCATCACTGGAAACATCTGCAGTGGTTCTCCTCCTTGATCATAGACATACTGTCCTAGAAGCTTGCCTTCTTCTTGATATTCGTCATCTAGACCCTATAACAACAGGATGATTTTTTTCTTCCGTCAGATTTGAAATCAAACCAAAACCAGAAGCATGTCTACATAACTGAGTATCAACAGACAGCATTCAGAAGTCTATCAAACCAGGATCAGAATGTTTCTCCACGTAACTTAATGCTTGTTCTGGCACGGCTCTGTATTTGAGTTTCCTGCGCTGCAAATAGCTGTGTTATGCTTATATGTTCTCATGGTCAAACCCCTTAATTTTTATGGCAAAACCACTGTCACAGCGTACAATGTAAACTGCTCAGGACAAACAATGAGAAAACATCAAGGTTATAAACAAGACTGAAGTCTAGATTCAGATGCTTGCAGAAGACTGCTTAAGCATTTAGAAGAACTAGACAAAAAGTTCTCAGATATCACAACTATACTCTGATGTAGCCTGTGGTCTTCTGTTCTGCCATCATGCCTACACAACTACGGTGCTAGTTAAAATCAATTTTAAAAAAAGATTTAAGGAATATCATAGACAAGGTGAAGGGGGGGAGGAGGAGGAAGGATGGAACAATTAAAGTGTATGAAAGAACTATACCAAATTAAAAACCATCATCTCCCTCCAAAAACATTTGCTACTGTATAAAGCAAGAGAAAAGAAACAACTCCTCCAAAATTAGTTGTAACACTTCTTATTCCTAATCTCAAAGCTCATAAAAAAAAATAAGCAATTTTAAGGGCAATGACAGAAACAGT